GACTGCTGACTGCCTTGCCAGTTGTTTGTTTGTTTTCTGTTTCCTTTTTTTTCCTGGGGAAATAGCCCCATCTCGTGGTCTTCTGAAGGCATCAGCGCCCAAGCCCACTGGCCGCCCCTCTGTGAGGAAAGGGCTTGCCGTATCTTTTCTTCCAGGATTTGGAAGTGTCCTGACATAAGGGAACTAGGTCTCAAGCACAGATACTGTTGCCTGCGACCACTGATCGTGGCTGGCACCTCCCACTGCGCCTAGTGGTGTTGAACTTGAGTGTTGGTCTCTATCTACAGGTGAGCCTTTTTATGCTATTTCCCTCAGGCGGTCACAGCTCAATGACTGCTTCTCCACTGGGGGCTTGGACCCCAGTATGTCTTGGAGTCGGGGACCGTAGATAACGCCTCTTCGTTTAGACTTTTCTGTTTTCCATTATGGACCGTGACCTGGCGTTACAGCCGTAGGAGAGAGAAAAGAGGCACGAGCTGTTCAAAACAATGCTGTTGGTCTGGAAAGCCCGGATGTTCTTATTAGAACCCTGCACCTTTATCCCGTTATGTCCACCAATGACTGACGGGGCATCAGAGTGAAATGTGACCTGTGGACATCAGCATGATACTCGATAGGCATACCTCTTGACGCCCCCCCCTTTTTTATTGAGATGAGATTCACACAAAATCAAATTAACCATTTTAGAGTGAATAATTCAGCGGCATTAAGTACATTAACAATGCCGTGCAACCATCACCGCTGTCTTGTTACAGAATATTTTCATCGCCTATGGAGAAAACCCTATACACACAAAGCACTCACATGTGCGGGCATGCACACACACACACACACACACACACACATATGCACATGCACACGCACACAAGGCTCCTCCCTCCCCCACATACACACCCTCACACTTCATGCCCGATCTGCTCTCTGACTCTCTGGGTTTTCCTATTCTGGACATGTCATATATTGGTGTGTGTGTTTTTTAAATATATATTTTATTGATTTTTTACAGAAAGGAAGGGAGGGGGATAGAGAGTTAGAAACATCGATGAGAGAGAAACATTAGTCAGCTGCTTCCTGCACACTCCCTACTGAGGATGTGCTCACAACCAAGGTACACGCCCTTGACCGGAATCAAACCTGGGATCCTTGAGTCCACAGGCTGATGCTCTATCCACTGAGCCAAACCATTTAGGGTGTCATATATTGTTTTTTAAAAAATATGTTTTTATTGATTTTTTTTTAAAGAGAGAAAAACATTGATGTGAGAGAGAATCATCAATCAGCTGTCTCCACTCTGCACCCAGACCGGGAATTGATCCTGAAACCTGGGCATGTGCCCTGACCTGAAATTGAACGGGTGACCCTTCGGTGCTCACCCAATTGAGCCACAGCTGCCCTGGTCATGTAATATTTTTAAAGAGGAGATTATTTTTTGATGGCAGGTCACAGGACAGTGACACTTCGAGAGATGAAAGGCAGAACTCTTTCTAACAATTCAAAGGAGAGAAGGCTGCCATGTGGGGGTGCACCCGGGTAGCGTGCTAGTTTCTTCAGGGTTCCTCTGGGCACAGGGGCTTGCCCTAGTTTTCTTATACTGACCCCTGAGTGTGAGAGCCCAATAGGGAGGGTTGAAGACACGTTTAGTGGCCCCAGAGAGAGGGCCCCTGATGAGGAAGGTAGCTGGGATGAGAGCTCAACAAACTGCCAATGAAGAGCAGAGAAAGGGGGGTTTTCAGTCATAAGTTCCAAAGTAGGTCGAGACAGCTCTTGTGAAATATTGTATTACCTCATCAAAATGAAATCATTCCATCTGTGGCCTATTGTGTGTCTGGCTTTTGTCACTGAGCATACCGTCTCCAAGGTAGCATGTATCGGCATCTCATTCCTCTTTCCGGCCAAGTAATATTTCAGTGCATGTATACGGACTGTTTAGTTCATCGGTTCCATTCTTCAGACGGTGAACATTGGCTTGTTTCCACCTGTTTCTGCTCTGGTGAATCACGCTGCTGGGAACACTCATGTACAGGCTTTTATTTGCACACCTGTTTGCAGTTCTGTTGAGTATGTGTCCAGGAGTGGAATGGCTGGGTCATGCGATAACTATGTTTACTTACTGAGGAACCATCAAACTGTTTTCCCTTTTAATTTGGAACACCGTCGAGCCAACAGACACATAGAGAGACTAGTGTCATGAAGCCCAGGTACCAGCCTCCCAGGCCCGTGGTCGGCAAACTGTGGCTTGCGAGCCATATGTGGCTCTTTGGCCCCTTGAGTGTGGCTCTTCCACAAAATACCACGGCCTGGGTGAGATAATTTTGAAGAAGTGGCGTTAGAAGAAGTTTAGGTTTAAAAAATCTGGCTCTCAAGAGAAATTTCAATCGTTGTTCTGTTGATGTTTGGCTCTGTTGACTAATGAGTTTGCCGACCACTGTCCCAGGCAGTGCCCTCCAGCTCCCCTTATTTCCTACTTTGCCCTTTCCTTCCCTTCCCTTCGGTTCCTTTCCCAGCATTTTAAATTAAGTTTACAGGCCCTTTTCTCCCAAAATGCTTCAATGTGGATCTCTTTTTTCTGTTTGTTTGTTAATCTTCACCCGACGATATTTTTCCACTGATTTTTTTAGGGAAAGTGGAAGACAGAGGGAAAGAGAGAGAAACATCGAAGTGAGAGAAACACATCGATTGGTTGCCTCCTGCACAAGTCCCAACCCGGTCTGGGCCAGGGAGGATCCTGCAACCTAGGTACGTGCCCTTGACCGGAATCAAACCTGGGACCCTTTGGTCTGCAAGCCCACGCTCTGTCCACTGAGCCAAACTGGCTAGGGCCATCTAAGGGTTTTCAGCATCCACTCGACCTTAGGGATTCTCTCTCTGATTCATAGAAACTTCTTCGAAAGACATTTGAGTTTATTTATTCAGGGCCAGTGTAGATTGACAATTTATCACAGGTGATAAGGGATGTAGGGCCAATTTCAATGCTCTGGGGACCCTGTCCCTTTGCCCTTTCTCCTGTTGCACAAACACACCGTGCTCGCCCACAGCAGCATAAGAAACACTCTGGGCGCAGGCCCACCCACCATATGTTCCTCCGCTGCTCCACCCAGGACTTTCCCCCTGTCAGTCTCCAGTTGGGTGAAAACATCCTTAGAGCAAACTTTCTTCTTCTGGCTTTGAGAACTGATGTGGAGAAAGAAATCTGGTTCTGTCCACTTTGTCAGTGACACGCTCTTCCTGCCCTTAATGTGAGCCTGGGGTTCCTTCCTGTCCTGGGGGGGGGGGGGGGGAGAGGACCCCCAGCATGGCCTCACCTTCTGCAAACTCCTCCCCCTTGTTCCTTTCCCCCACCCCCGGCTGCCCCCTCCCCTCTGCCAGCCAGCCAGTTTTCAGCACCATGAACGCTGCACTCAGGCCTATCTGAGGGCTAGACATGGGCCATGCTCTTGGTCTGCTGCTCTCCTTACCTCCAACCTTCATCTCTTGGCCTAAATGTTACTTCTTCAGAAAGTACCCCCCTTTCCTCCTCTCCCTCCCCCCCCCCATCGTGGGTTCCTTCATTGTGCAGCTCACCAGCCTGGTCTTTCTCTTCCCCTTGAGAGAAAGTCTGTTTGCAGGTGGAATCGGTATGTTTAGAGTTGTGGGGGTTTTTTTTGTTGTGTTTTTTTTTTTTTTAATATATTTTATTGATTTTTTACAGAAAAGGGATAGAGAGCTAGAAACGTCAATGAGAGAGAAACATCGACCAGCTGCCTCTTGCACACCCCCCACCGGGGATGCGCCTGCAACCAATGTACATGCCCTTGACCAGAATCGAACCCGGGACCTTTCAGTCCGCAGACCGACGCTCTACCACTGAGTCAAACCGGTTTTGGCTAGAGCTGTGGGGTTTTTTTGTTTTTGTTTTTGGTTTTGGTTTTTATGTTGTTGTTTGTTTTTTGTAAGAACCCTTACCTGAGGGGAAAGGGGGCTGGCAACGGAACATCTAGGGATGGCTGGAAAGTTGGGGTCATGGCTACTGCCCACATGAGAAAAGGGCCAAGAGAAGAAGGAAATGAGAATAAGAAAGGAAAGAAGAGCCCAGCTGGCATTGCCCAGTGGTTGAGTGTCAACCTATGAACCAGGAGATCAGGGTTCAATTCCCAATCAGGGCACATGCCCGGTTTGGGGGTTTGATCGCCAGTAGGGAATGTGCAGGAGGCATCCCATCAGTGAATCTCTCTCATTATTGATGTTTCTATCTCTCTCCCCCTCTCCCTTCCTCTCTGAAATCAACAAAATATATTTCTTTTTAGCCCTGACTGGTTTGGCTCAGTGAATAGAGCATCGGCTTGCGGGTCCCAGGTTTGATTCTGATCAAGGGCATGTACCTTGGTTGCAGGCATATACCCAGTGGGGAGTGTGCAGGAGGCAGCTGATTGATGTTTCTCTCTCATTGAAGTTTCTGGCTCTCTCTCACCCTCTCCCTTCTTCTCTATAAAAAATCAAAATATATTTTTAAAATTAAAAAAAAAAAAAAAAAAAACAGGGAAGAGCCGAAACCGGTTTGGCTCAGTGGATAGAGCGTCGGACTGAAAGGTCTCAGGTTCGATTCTGGTCAAGGGCATGTACCTTGGTTGCGGGCACATACCCAGTAGGGGGTGTGCAAGAGGCAACTGATCGATGATTCTCTCTCATCGATGTTTCTAACTCTCTATCCCTCTCTTCCTCTCTATAGAAAATAAATAAAATATATATTTTTTTAAAAAAAACAGGAAAGAAGAAACACACTTCCTTGAAAGCCTGTTAGGTGCTGTTGGCAAGAAGAGGGAGTAAACCTGTGTCCTTGGCCTCACTGCACAGGTGAGAAGAGGGGACAGAAGTTCCATTTGGTTAAGTGTTATGGGTTGAATTGTGTCCCCTAAAAAGTCTTGTCCCCAGGGGCTGTGAATGGATGGGCTGTACTGGAGTAAAGTGGGGCTCCTGTCACACCTGCCTCTTTCCACTTCCCTTAGTTTCTCCGTGCCTCTGCCATGGCAGCCATTCTCCTAAAGACCAGAGCCAAGGTGAGTGGGACTCCCAGCTACGGGCTGCCCCTCGCCTCAGCATCTCCCCTTAATGGCCTCCACCTGCCACACCCCTTGTGTCCCAGCCTCACAACTGTTGCAACTCCGAGCCTCCCCTGGCTGCTGTGCTCCCCAGTACCGCCCTTGCCCCATCTTTAGTTGACCCCACCTACCTCATCTTAGGGCCCAAGAGGGTGGATTTCCCTGCAGTCACAGGAATATCTCGTTTTAGGTGCCAGTATCTTTTGAGGACGTGTCTGTGAACTTCAGCAAGTCAGAATGGAAGCTTCTGGATCTCAATCAAAGGATCCTCTACAAGCAAGTGATGCTGGAGAACTACCGCCATTTAGTGTCACTGGGTAAGGACCCCACACACACCCAGTGCCTCCTACTCAATCTCAACTCCTTTCTTTCTTTCTCTTTCTTCTTTCTTTCTCTTTCTTTCTCTTTTTTTCTTTCTTTCTTTTTTTAAAGATACATGATTTTTTTTTTTTTTTTTTTTTTTACAGAGAGGAAGAGAGATGGATAGAGAGTTAGAAACATCGATGAGAGAGAATCATTGATCAGCTGCCTCTTGCACAGCCCCTACTGGGGATGTGCCCGCAACTAAGGTACATGCCCTTGACCGGAATCGAACCCGGGACCTTTCAGTCTGCAGGCTGATGCTCTATCCACTGAGCCAAACCGGTTTCGGCTCTTTCTTTCAGCATATTTTAATTGATTTCAGAGAGGAAGGTAGAGGGAGAGAGAGAGAAACATCAATGATGAGAATTATTGGTCGGCTGCCTCCTGCATGCCCCCACACTGGGAATCGAGCCCGCAACCCGGGCATCTGCCTTGACCTGGAATTGAACCATGACCAAACACTAAGCCATGCCAGCCAGGCTGAACTCAGTTTATTTGTGAGTTCCTTTGCTGGTTGGTTACAGGAAGGCCAAGAATAAATGCGTTTCCCCAGTAGATCCATTGCAGCCCAGCTTTTGTCTCAGCAGGGCAGTTTTTAGCTCAGTGGTTTGGACCTGTAAATGTTTTGGGTAAATGTGTGCCCTCCCTCAGCAAACGTATTTTGCATATAAACTCATAGGTTAACGAAACTTCTGCTACCCAAAAAATAGTGCAAATACTCTATGCCCTATTGGAGACTTAATTCACTTTTACCAAGGCTGCATTTCACATTTATTTCTTGTTAGAATTTAGCGGCATCAAGCCACAGAGGGCCCAGGTCATGGAGGCCCAGGCCAAGGCAGGCAGAAGCCGAATGGGAGCTGGGGCAAACTCCCGTGCTACATCCCGCTGCCTTTGGGGGCTGCAGTGGACCCTCTTGTTCCAATTTTCCTTTTAGAGTCAACAGATTTTATCTCTGTGATTTTACACCCCCTTCCCCCCCTCCCCCCCGCATTGAGAAAGACTAGCTGCTTCCCCTGGGTTCTTTCTGACCCTCCCCAGGAAGATCTGGGTTTCCCAGGGGAGTCCAGGAATCTTAGGCTGAGTTTGGCATAAGGAACAACTGAGACAGCTGCTCTGTGTGCTGGTGATTCAGAGGTCTTCGGCTTTTGGGGTGCAGGCAGCCCCTCAGCTCTGTTCACTTCCTGATACTCCCTTGTCCCCAGGGGATCCCTGCTCTAGCCCTTTGGCTATGCCTTGGGGTATCCCACAAGCTTGCTGCCCTCCAAGTGGCCAAATAATAGCATCTTTATCCTCGTGGCCCAAATCGCCATCTACTACAGATCCCCTGGGCCTACCTGGCCCCTGTAGGGTTAGAGTCCCTTGCTTCGTGAGAGGGACTTTGCCCTTTCTCTGGACCCTTCCAGTGGCAATTTTTGGAGAGTTCTTTGTTCTCTGTTCCTGAAGATACTGATTCACTTCATTTCCGTGCACAGGATTTTCATCCTCCAAGCCCCACCTGGTCTCCCTGCTGGAGAAAGGGAAGTGGCCCTGGGTAGCAGACAGCCGGACAAGGGCTGCCGTAGGAACACAGGCAGGTGAGTAAAAGGTGCTTGGCCAGCTTGCCTAAGCTATTCGCATAGAGCAGCAGTCAACGGAGGGTGGCACAGTCACTTTGGGTGGAGAACTCTCTTTTGTGGTAGATTTAAATGCCCCCCCATGGAGGCACCAGATGAAGGGAGCACCTCCTGCTGTCTCACCCCACTTCCTCCCTTCTCACTCTCCTGTCTGTCTGCCCAAGATCATCTCCTGGTTCATCTCCTCTCAGCCTTGGCATGAGGGTGAAGGTGAAGAAAAAAAAATCAATAGAGACCCAGGGAAGGAGCAATACCGGTTGGTGCCCTCTGTCTTTACAGATAAAAGGATCAAGAGCAAGACATTGAGTTTCAAACAGAAACATTGTCCAAAAGAATGCACAGGTGGCAGCAAGGGCCAGGGAACCAGGCTGCTGGAGGAGACACCTGAGCAGACACAGAAACATGTTTATTCTGTTTATTCTCCCGAGACAGGTTCCAGCAGTGATGACCATCACAGGGAGAAAGGCCACGGCAGCTCCTCTGGAGAGAGAAGAGAGCCGGTGCAGAGAAAGAACCACAGCGTCAGGCAGGATTCAGTGCCAAGGCCACAGAGTTCCAAAGGTGCAGAGAAGCGCTTCCTGTGTCAACAGTGTGGGAAATCCTTCAGCCGGAGCTCCAACCTCATCAAACACCGCATCATCCATAGCGGGGAGAAGCCCTACGAGTGCTCGGAGTGCGGGAAACTCTTCCGGCGCAGCTTCGCCCTCCTGGAGCACCAGCGCATACACAGTGGCGAGAAGCCCTTTGAGTGCAACGAGTGCGGGAAGACCTTTACGCGCAGCTCCAACCTCATCAAGCACCAAATTATCCACAGCGGGGAGAAGCCCTTCAAGTGCTCGGAGTGCGGGAAACTCTTCCGGCGCAGCTTCGCCCTCCTGGAGCATGAACGCATCCACAGTGGCGAGAGGCCCTACGAGTGCAATGAATGCGGAAAGTCCTTCAGCAGGAGCTCTAACCTCATCGAGCACCAGCGGACCCACAGTGGCGAGAAGCCCTACAAGTGCAGCAAGTGTCCAAAAGCTTTCAAGGGCATCTCTCAGCTCATTCACCACCAGCGCATCCACAGCAGGGACAAGTCATTCCAGTGCAAGGAGTGTGGGAAGGCCTTCCGGGGTCGCTCGGGCCTCAGTCAGCATCGCCGGGTGCACAGTGGAGAAAAGCCCTATGAATGCAGTGACTGTGGGAAGACCTTCGGCCGACGATCCAACCTCTTCAAGCATCAGGTGGTTCACAGGGAGGAGAGGCTCCACCAGTGTCAGGACTGCAAGAAGGTGTTCCGGGGCAGCTTAGACCTCCTGGAGCACCGGCAGGCGCACGCGTGCCGGAAGGCCCGCAGCAAAAGCGATGAGAAGCCTTGCACATGTGGTGAGTGTGGCAAATGTGACAAGGCCTTTAAGGGAAAATTGCAGAAAACTCGCCATGGAAAGAAGACTTCGGAGGACAGTGACGATGAAAAAAAGCCAGCCTCCTTGGCCCTCAAAAGCCCCCCTGAGGATGAGAAACAGGAGACAGACTCTGAATGCAAGGCTGCCCACATGACAGGGTTGTCTCCGGAGGGCTTAGCATTCTGCTCCCCTCCATCCTGTCGTTGATGCAGCCTGAGCCCTGGGCTGATGACAGGGTGCCGTGTGTGAGCACAGGAGTGTGTGTGTGTGTGTGTGTGTGTGTGTGTGTGTGTGTGTGTGTGTGGAGTGGATGTGAGCTCTTGCACACCTATAGGGATTGTGTGCTGTAGGAAGACACCTGTTTATGGGGCCACCCCCAGGGCACAGGAACCTTGAGTTCAGTAAAGATGGTCTATTTTCTCTCATCGGGTCATTCACTGGACCCCAAGACTTGTTAGTGTTTCCAGGTAGAAAAGACAAAAAGCACTTTAATCCTTGAAGAGCTTATATATGGAAAGGACTTGAGGACGTTAAAACTCTTGAGCTCTGTAAGTAGGCTGCGGCTTGACATCCCCCCGAATTCATCAAGAAATGGTCTGAAAATGGACACAGGCAGATGCTCTTACACATTGCCTGTGCCTGCACTGGCAGCCTCGGCTCCATGGGAAGGCACTGGACACCCTGCTACGGTGCTGACCTGTCCTTTTTCCAGGCCATTTGTCTTGGTGCCTGAAGACTGCAGCCTTCGACGGCTGTTTCCAGCCGCCTCTTCTCAGAGGAGCAGCGCCAGGCCCCATCTTCTGAGAGCTCAGAGCTTGGAGGGAGGGAGAACTCTGGGGAATGGAGGGCCAGGGCCCCATGGAGAGGATGAGGTCCAGGGACTCAGCTTCTCCTCCCCCAGAGAGTAGCCTTTTTGCACTGGTCCCTCGAAACAGAAGGGTCCAGGCAAGACATGGCAGTATGGCAATGTTTGCCACCAGCTGCCCTGCTACCTTTGGTCTCCTCCCTGCCCAATCAGGCCCTCAAGTTTGCCCCCTTTGCTGCTTTTCTGCCCTCCCCCCCCCCCCGCCAGAGCCTGCCAGCAAAGGCCACCCTGGCTTCTCTGTCCCTCCTCCCCACCCTCAGTGCCTAAAGCTGCCCCCACTCCCCGCGCCCAATAAGCACCCCTGTGGTTTGCACGCATCAGGAGGAAAGCCAGATGGGTTAGGAATTTGCACAGAGAGTACCCAGCCGTGGTTCTCTCGTCAGATCTGTCTTCATAGGACATTTCTGAAAATATTGGTGGCTCGGTTGCTTTGAATGTTTTTGCGTTCAGGACAATGTAAGGTGAAGTTGGAGATTTCTGCCATATGAGAGTGTCAGGGATTCGCCCCTGAAATAAGAATCCCACCCCACCTCCAGCCCTCTGAGAAGTACTCAGGCAGGAGAAAGGGTTCCCCCTCCCCCCCCCAGCCCTGGCATGTGGTAGCAAGCCTGGCTACTCTTTTCCTTCCTCCCCCTCAGCCCCGTGGGAACAGGGCAGACCCTGCAAATGGCACTTTATTGCAGGCTAGGCGAGGATCTCAAGCTCGCGCTGGCCAGGGGGTCAGCTGCTGGCTGACTCTGTCCTGTGCCACCTATGCTGTCCCCAGAGCTGGGCCCAGGAGTTATGCCCCTTGGTGCTCTCAGCTCAGCATCCTGATTCGCTTGCCACCTCCTTGCAGCCCCCTTCACTCCCAGGGGCTCGGGTGGGTCACACAGAGCGCCTGAGGGCAGGCAGGTGGTGGATGTGCCGGAGTCCCCCTCTGGGCTTCCAAGGAGCATGCGCTTTCCCTGCAAGACAGGGGAGGGTCAAAGACCCATCAGGAGAGTGTGGGAGAACCTGGAAGTCCAGGATTCCTTCTGAACGTGCTGTTTAGGACTGCAATTGCTAGGACGACTCCAGGAGTGAGAAATATAGGTATAGGTGTAGATGTAGGTGTAGATGTAGATGTTTTATAGAGATTTATTTAAAAGATTTTACACATCTTTGACTTATGGAAAGTGCTTGTAACTTGCTCTTATCTCATAACCTCCTCCTGCTCTGCGCATCACATTCATCTTTGTGCCCCAGCGCTGGGCTTGGCACTTAATAAATATTAGGTCCGCCAAAGGATTTTGAATTTATTCGATCATCCGCACACCAGGTGGCTGAGCCTGGGTGGCTCCAGCACCCAGTGACTGGAGTCAGAGGCTTTCAAAGGACTTTTGGCGGGCTCTTTTCTGGGAGGAGACTTCTTTATGCATTCCCTGAGGGGAGAGAATGGAATGTGGTGACAGCAAGTGAAATGTGGTCTCAGAAAAGGGAATGTCCATAGTGAAATGATCTGGAAATCCAGCTCTTGGGGGGAGGAGTAGAAATTCAATTGCTTGATCAAACCTAACAGTAAATGCTTGTGAAATGAATATCGGCCCCCTTAGCACATTGAACTCAGGTTCTAGACCACAGTCAGCCCCAGCATAGCCTGGAGGGGGTTGAAAGTTTCTGCAACTTTTGGGTTTTCCAGTAGAAAAATAAGGATTAGGAACAGTGTCTAGAGTCCATGAAGAAGTCATTGGGAGATGTGTGTTTTTTCTGAGATGCAGGAAATTTTTGGATTCAAGAACCCAATCCCCACACAGTGCAGGGGACAGTGGCCAGTGGCCTTATGCTTGGGCTCCAGTCGCCTTTAACCATGGCCTGACCAGGATTGGGGCAACAGCTGTCACATGGTAAGAATGCTTTAGTAAGCGAACAGTTTAGCTCTTACAGGCCTGTCAGTAACCAGCTTTTAATAAAGAAGAGCTGGACCCTAGCCATTTTGGCTCCATGGATAGAGCATCGGCCCATGGACTGAAGGGTCACAGGTTTCATTCTGGTGCATGTGGGAAGCAATGGGTCAATGCATCTCTCACATCGATGTTTCTCTCTGTGTGTCTGTCCTGATCCCTTGCACTCCCTCTAAAAATCAATGGGAAAAAATATCCTCAGATGAGAACTAACAGGAAAGAAGGAAGGGAGGGAGGGAAGGAGGGAGAGAGGGAGGGAGGGGAAAAGAAAAGAAAAAAGAAAAGAGAAAAGAAAAGAAAAGAAAAGAAAAGAAAAGAAAAGAAAAGAAAAGAAAGAGTTGTCTCCTCCCAGGATAATGTCATCCCATTGATTCTACTGGATAAGCTACCTTTTTGTCCCTCCCTCCCCCCCAACTCACAACCAATGGTCTACTTTCTGTCACTGTTCATCACTTTGTATTTCCTGCAGTTCTATGTAAATGGAACCCTGCTGTGTGCACTCTTCCTTGTCTGGCCTCTTTTACTCTGCATAATGATCTTGAAGTGCATCCAGATAGTTGTAGCAGGCCTTCGTTTTCTTTGCTGAGTATCGTTCCATTGTGTGCACGGACCACAGTACTTGTGTTGTTTCCAGGTGTTGGCCATGACTAATAAAGCTCCTATGAACATTTGTGTATCAGTGTTTGTGTGGACATATGTGGTCGCTTCTCTTGGGTATACATATGCCTGGGTGGGGAGTTGCTGGGTCAGTGATGGATTTGGATCTTATTGCTTCGATCATCCTTGGTTGCCCTGCAGTCCTTGCTTCCCAGACACACACTGCACATTTAAGTGCGTGCTGGGATGTGAGAGTAAATAAGGCATATATCTTGCCTCCATTCACAATCAGGAGCTTCTATCTGTTGCTATGAGGCCTTTGTTCATTATTCTGAAAACTTACCGCTGTTCCGAGATTTTTAAAAAACTTTTGTCTTGCCATGGTCGGGTAGCTCAGTTGGTCAGAGAATTGTCCTGATATGCCAAGGTTGTGGTCCAATCCCCAGTCAGGGCACATACAAGAATCAAGCAATGAATGCATGAATATATGGAACAAACATCTCTCTCTCTCTCTCTCTCTCTCTCTCTCTCTCTCTCGCTCTCGCTCTCTCGCTCTCGCTCTCACTCTCTTGCTCTCCCTCTCTCTCAAGTCAATAAATAAATATATTTTTTAAACTTTTTCTGGCAAAGATTTCTTTTATACAGTATACAGTGAGTGGTCAGATTATTATGATCTCTGAACACATAATAATCTGGCCACTCAGTGTATATCCCATATCATAAAAGGCTAATATGCAAATTGTCCCCTCGACCAGGAGTTCGACCAGCAGGCAGGCCGGCCAACTGCCCATGTCCCCTTCCCCTGGCCAGGCTGGCCGGACCCCACCCATGCACAAATTCATACACTGGGCCTCTAATTAAACAAATACATACAAATATATATATATATATATATATATATATATATATATATAGAGAGAGAGAGAGAGAGAGAGAGAGAGAGAGAGAGGCCAAATTATTATGCATTCAGAGATCATAACCTGGCCACTCAGTGTATACTTTATTGATTTTTTACAGAAAGGGAGAAGGATAGAGAGTTAGAAACATTGATGAGAGAGATACATCGATCGGCTGCCTCCTGCACATCCCCCACTGTACCCGAATTGAACTTGGGATCCCCCAGTCCGCAGGCCGACACTCTATCCACTGAGCCAAACCAATTAGGGCAGTGGTTGGCAAACTGCGGCTCACAAGCCACATGAGTTTGCCAACCACTGCTAGGCAAAAACACTTAAAAATCATTTTAATAATGTGCTCATGTCTTTAACCTGAAGTCAAAACTTCTGGGTAAGGGTAATGCCTTAGCAGTGGTCGGCAAACTCATTAGTCCAACATAGTGGCAAACCCTGGCTCTTGAGCTGCATGTGGCACGTGAGCCGCAGTTTGCCAACCACTGGGTTAGGGTATCTAGCAAAGAATTTTTAACAGAAAAATAAAATCAAATTGAAATAAGGAAGTAGAGAGTAAAGTAATTGTATTTTTTCCCCCAGAATATTCCTCACATAATATATAATGTACTTTCCTTCCATATTCTGGCTAGTTAATGTGGGAAAGAGGTGAAAGGAGTTAGGTGGAGAGC